CAAGTCCAGTTTGTGGGGCACACAGGAAGGCCAAAGACCCAGAGAAGACTTGTCTGGCTTGTGGGTTTACTCTAGAGAACTGTGAACGCCCCAGCCCCCTGCAGTTTGACTTAGTGCCCGCCAGAATTCTTCCTCAGGGGAGGTCAGTGTTTTTGCGCTACTGCTCGCAGCTGACTGCGCAGGCCCACCTGCATCAGAGAGGGTCATCTGCTTTCTGCACTCCAGGATCAGCTCGTCCAGATATCTGAGCGCCATGGCCTCACCAGAGTGACACACAAAATTCATCAGCACTTTGGGTGGTGCTGCAAGGGCAAGCAGAAACACTGAGACAACACGAAGGATTCGGAGGCAAACAGATTTACAATGATGGGCAGTGTTCTGGGATCATTCCCAGAATAACAGGCCCTGATCTCTGGGGGTCTAGGGGTTCTTCTGGCGAATACAGCAGGAAGTACAGCGGCAGAACAGCTTGTTAACTGGGGATTGGTTTATACAATGTGCGTCACAGGGACCAGCTGTTGCTAAGAGACAGGAGCAACCAGAACTGGAACAGGAACTGTTACCCGGGCAACTGGGAAACTGAAGCATATGGGTATGGGAGGTACATTGTCTGCTCCAGTACTCAGGACTGGATTCAGGGGCTTCACAGGGAGCTACACTTGCGGCCCAGCTTTGCTTTCAGATAGGATCTCACTCAGTTGCTTGGCTGGCCGGGCTGGATCAGCCTCCCAGAGTGCTGGGGTTGCGGGTGTGCTCTACTGCCCCGCCAACAATGACACTTGATGCACACATGGCCAGACACGTGTGTCGCAAAGCAAGGGAGAAGGACTCGTGACGATGACAGCCCTCATGTCTGTATCAGGCCACGTGGCTCAGCCTGGCACATGCAGCCACCCCAGAGGCCTTCTTGGCACCCAGATCAGCATGGGGTCACCCAGGTTGTTGTCCCCAAGCGCTGGGTGATTTAAACAAGAATTTAGTTTCCTCCAGTTCTGGAGACTGCAGGTCTAAGGTCAGGCTGTTGGCAGGGCTCCCTCCTCCCCGGTTCTGTCTCCTCAGCTTCCAGCTGGCTGTCTTCTGTGTCCTGTTCTCAGCGCTGGTGGCATATGTGGCACACAGCAGTTACATTCACCATGGGGAGCTGATACTGGCCCATCGTACATCCTGGTCCCCTTTCCCTCCCTCCATTTCTTTTACCTTTTTTTTCTGTATTTTAGTACAGGGTCTACAGGGTCTCACTACATAGATCAGACTTGTAATGATCCGCCTGTGTTCAGCCTCCCAAGCGCTGAGATTACAGGCTCACACCACCAAGCCATCTTAATTGCTGCCTCAGCACACCCCCCAGGGGTGGGGCTGACACGGCATGCTGGGGGTCGAACTCCACCTGCTGCATCTGCCTAAGCAGGTGTTTTAATCTGCTGAGCTATTTGGCCGGCCCTCTTTTACCATTTGCAAAAGACCAACGTTTCTATTTTCTATCATCTATCTCTTATGTTGCACTTTTAATTATGTTTTGGGCTTCTCTTGCAACAGAAGACTTGTGGTATTTCAGCTTGTGGGTCTGCTCGATTCCACTTATTATGGTCTCTAGTGCATCCATTTTCCTACAAGTACTTCAAGTGTATCCTTCTTTGGGCATGGCACTGCTCCATGGTGCGTAAGTTCCACATCTTCTTTATCCATTCATCTGTTGATGGACATATAGGCAGTTTGCAAGAGTTAGCGGCTGTGTGTCCTGCTGCGCTAAACGTGGGTGTGCATGGACCATTGTGGTCATAGAATGTCTTTCAGTGTTTGCAGAGGATCCCCAGAAGGGGGCTAGCTGGAGATCTTGGAAGTTCTCATCGTGGTGTTTCGATGAATCTCAGGGGTTGAACTAGTTTGCTCTTCTCCTTACTGGGGCCACCCTGATGCCTTCGCTCTACTTCGATCCCTCATTTAGAGACATTGTCTCCAAACACAGTCACTCTCTGAGGTCCCGGGGGATCAGGGTTTAGCTGGGGAAGAAAGGCCGTCCATCCGTGTGGTGGGGTGCAGGGGGCTGGAAGCAGAGCCTGAGAGGTGCAGAAAGACTGGCGAAAATTCAGGACTGCAGCAGCAGGAACTCGACTTGGTTTGTGTGGGATGAGCAGCCAGCACAATGCGGGAAGCACCTTAGGTTCTGACCTGTGGTTTGCGGAAGTCCTCTGCTGGGTCCCCTGGGGAGGAGGGGCCCATAACCACCCAGGTGCCTGACAAAGGGCCCTGGACTGCGGTCAGGAGGAGGGGAGGGCTGAGAAGGACAGTGCTGTGGGTCACTGCGGGGACGGACGCCATTGCAGCTCCCCGGGAGCTGGCGGATCACACGTGTCTCCGGGAGGGAGGAGATCCTGCTGCCGGAGGCTCCCCCTCTCCTCCGCTGGGCTCTCCACAGTTTCCGGCACGCGGAGGGAGTCGTGAGTTTTGTGGAATGAATGCGTGACGCCTCCATCCAGGAGCTGAAGCAATGGGAGACACGGGGCTTGGGGGACGGCGGCGTCAGGGACTCTGACGTTTCTTTGCTCAGGCTGGGTGTGGATTGGGGCTGCGGGCAGCAGTGTGCCTACGAGAGTGATTCTCGGAGGAGGTGAGATTTGGACAGCTTTGAGGTGTTGAGCGCTCCTCCAAAGCGGCACGCGTCCGCAGGGTCGACGTAGAGGGTATTTCTGTCCAAGGGAAGTTGTACAGCAGGGTGACACTTGTGGTTTAAATGAGGGTCCGGGGCTTTCCTAGATAGCTGTGGGCAGCAGGCAGTTTGCATTCACTCACTTCCTGAGATATGAGACTCATCTTTCTCTTCTCCTTCCCTCCTCGCTCCTCCCACTGCTCCCTTCGCCTCTCTATCCCGTCTTCCCCACCGTCCCCAAATCTTTTGGGGCAGGGCCCCCCTCCTTGAGGTCCAGGAGACTGCCTGGCTCCAGAACTCTGGCTCTAAATTCAAGGCAGCAGAAAGCTCTTGAGCTTGGACGTGCTGCCCCCTGGTGGGAAGAAGAAAAAGTGTTCAGACCACCTTGTGGGACCTCTGGGGAGGGTGTGGCTGGCCGATCTCTCACGCCTTAGGGGATGGGGTCTGGAGGCTGCGGCGTCCCCGGACAGTGGGGCTGGGCTAGGGTTTGTCATCCTTAGTCCTAGGTACTCAGGAGGCTAAGGCAGGAGAATCACTTCAGCCCAGTTTTCTGAGAACCACATGGGCAACATAGGGAGATCCCATGTCATAGCAAATTTAGGTGTGCAGAGGAAGGGGGGGGCAACCTTGGAAAGGTGCTAAGTAGCGACTGATAAGAGTGAAGGATCAATGATTCCTTAAACTGAGGGAGATGAGGACCTGGGGTGGGTTTGGATAAGCTTTGATGGCCCCTGGTTGTTGTCTCCTGAATGGGGTCTGAGCGAGCCTGTCCTCACTTTGGCTGGGGCTGATGTTCTTCAGGTTGAGCTGCAGCTGGGAAGATGCTGCCTCTACCCATGAACCTCAGGTGCACCCTGTGGCGGATTCCCAGTTTCCCTACACCAAGGGGCTGGATTCCCACTCCTGGCCCTGGCAGGTCCCAGAGGAAGGCCCTGGGTTTGTGTCACAGGATGGGCTGAGTGATGTCTGGGGAGATGGTCCTGGGCTCTGGATCGAGGAGTGACAGGGTTAAAGGAAGGAGATGGGGCTGGGAGCTGGGCCACTTGGCCTTTGGGACCTGTGTGGGAGAGATGGAGAAGCATGTCCAGGAGGAGCTGTCACCTGTGGTATCCACCTGAAGGTCACAAAGGGTTGGTGACATATCCCTTTGAAGTCATAGTCTGGGCAGGTAGGGTAGGCCCCAGGAGGTCTTTGAAAGCTCCAGAATGGGGTGTCCGGAGTGGGGACCCAACAGGGGACTTTGAAGATGGATGGTCTCCTGGGGAGGGTGCTGGGGGTAGCAGCACAGAGAACAGTTTAGGACACCAGCCAGTTCATCCTAGGAGGGTCCTGATGTCCAGAAAACCGTCTAGATTTGGGCATCCAGAGTCTTCTGGACAAGATTTGAGAGGCAGAGAAGAGGGCAAGAAGGAGTCCTATGAGACAGAACACGTGGGAATGGGTGAGGGTAAGCTTGAGGTACCGAGTTTGGAGCAACAGGGAACGTCTGAGGTTTTGGGGTCTTGAGTTTGTTGCATGTTGGGAATATGGGTGGGAAGAATGGATGGGTGTCAGACCCAGATGGTGTGGGTGAGGGAGGGGCTCTGGCAGAGCGAGTCAAGGTAGAGTTGGTGGGGGGAGGATGGAACTTGGGGATGAGCTTTGATTCCAGGTCATCTTTTAGTGGGTAACTGTAGGAGATCCTTGAGGGTCAGAACATGGTGTGTGTGTGTGTGTGTGTGTGTGTGTGTGTGTATAGTTCTGTAGGAAAACTAGTAGCTGCCTTTGAGGTGCTGAGAGCCAGTGCAATTTAGGGTCCTGCTTGGAGGGTTAAAGGTAGGTGGCATTGGGCTTGTTGGTGCACGCCTGTAGCCCCAGCTCTTCTGGAGGCTGAGACAGGAGGATCGTGTTTGCCCAAGCACTTGAGACTAGCCTGGGCAAAAAAGGATCTGATAATAGGAGTTGGGAAGAAGCAATAGCACATGAGGGTGAGATCAGGAGAATCCAAGACTCTTGTTTTGGAGGAAGAGCAGGTGTGTGTGGGTTTCCCCAAAGCTGAGGGCCCTTTGGGGGAGACGCAGAAACGTGGATGGTGAGCCCACGGATTAGAACAGAGTTGTGGTCAGAGTTGGTTAGGGGCTGGTGGACGTAGGGGCTCAGAATCGGGCCCCTAACTCTTCTCTGGGTGGGTGACAGGAGGGAGGTGCTCTAGGGCAGACTTGCAGGCCAATCCCGGCAGGGTGGGCTCCCCTGGTGGCTCAGGAGCCCTCTGGGAGGGAACAAGAGCGGCCGGGCGCCCCCTGCAGGACGACAGGACCACGTCGGCTCTGGAGAGGACCTTTTACTGCCGCCCCTCCCCCGCGCGGCCCGAGGCTCAGTGGCACTTGCTGTACACCACGTGCGGCCCCTGCTCCTCGTACTGCTCCCGCAGGACCCAGCAGGACCGGAAGGCGCTCAGCGAGGCCAGCACGGAGCCCCCGATCCACACCGAGCAGCCCCGGCTGGGCCGGGCCACCACCACCGTCACAGAGCGCGCCTCCTGGGGCAGCGAGCACAGCAGCTCGGCCCGGAAGCGGGCCTGGAAGCCCGCCAAGAGCGAGGAGCCCCCGCACAGCAGCACGCGCCGCGCCACGGCCGCCCGCGCCTCGGCCGGCAGCTTGCGCAGGCTGAGCGCGGCCAGGGCGGGGAGGCCCTCGCGCGGCAGCCCCGGCGCCTGCGGGGGGCGGAAGAGCAGCTCGGGGCCCTGGAACAGCTCCTTGCCCAGCTTGAGCGTGCGCCCGTCGGGCAGCGGCACGGAGCGCAGGCTCTGCGCGTCAGGGCGCGCCTGCAGCCGCGGGAAATCCGAGGCCACGAAGCAGTGGTCGTGCTTGATGCGCTCCACGGCGTCCAGGTGGCGCGGCCCGAGCGCCCAGCCCGCGCCCCGCAGCGCCTCGGCCAGGAAGGCGGTCAGGTGGCTGCCGGCCAGGTCCAGGCGCTCCACCGCGTGCGGCAGCGGGTAGCCTTGGAAGACGGGCGCGGCGCAGCTGACCCCGTGGCCCGCGTCCACCACCAGCCCGCTGACCCGGCCGTGCGCGTAGACGGACAGCACCGCCTGCGAGGCCACGAAGGCAGCCGGGCAGCGCAGCGCCTCGAAGGCCGTCTCCAGCAGCTGCTCGCGGTTGGTGGCCGGGCTGAAGGGCGGGTCGGAGAAGAGCAGCGGGTGGTCGCGGGGGTCCACGCGCAGGTCGTGCTCCAGCACGTGGCTCCAGAGCAGCTCCGCGGCCTCCCAGTCCTGCACGACTCCGGCGCGCACTGGCTGCAGCAGCTGCAGGTCGGGGCGCGCACGGGCCGCCTGGCCGATGAGCGTCTCCAATGGCTGCTGCCCGGGGCCGGCCGCGCTCCGGGGCCCGCAGCCCAGGATGGTGGCCACGGTGCAGGTGGGGCGCGCCTGCCCGGCGAAGCCCACCTTGCAACTGCCTGTGCCCATGTCGATCACCACTGCCGCCTTCCCGAGCAGGCTGCCGCCCACCTTGCCTTGGGAGTCCTGAGGCGGAGTCCCGCTCCTCAGGAGGGCACTGGGGTTCAAATCCCGCTCTGGAGCCTTTGGGGAGGGCGGGGGTTCTGGGGCCCTGGCACCATTCACATCCATGGCGCGGGGGCTGAGAGGTGTTGCAAGAAGTGACTGTTCTCCTGAGGGGGAAGGGAGGGTAGGGAGTGTGGGAGGAGGAGGCAGCAGTGGGGACACAGGCAGGGCAGGAGGAGGGTAGGGGACCATGCTCTGTGACATCACGGGCTCCTTAGCATCCCAAGATGTCACAATGTAGGGCTGGGGCGTCTCCCCCACCCTGCTTGTCCTAGGTTTATCTGTGCAGGATCCTTCTCAAAAATGACACTGGAAGGGCCTGGGGAGATAGCTCAGTAGAATAAGCCCTTGCCTGGCAAGTTCAGGGCCCTGAGTTCAATCCCTGGTACTGTAAAGAAAAAAATTAATTTATTAGGGGCCAGGGAGATGGCTCAGTAGAATAAGCGCTTGCTGCCTGGCAAACGCAAAGGTCTGAGGTCAATCCCAGGTGTCCCCCCCCCCCAAAGTGACACTGGAGGAGGGAGACAAGGACTCAGATCCAGTTCCTGATTCCAGAACCCTTTCCCTGCCCAACGTAAACAGAAATTCAGGAGTGTGTCGTTCTTTACCACCCAGTCGTGCTGGTGAGCTGATCTCTGATTGCCTGAGAACTTTCATCAGAAGGAGACAGGCCCCCAGCCTTCCAAGGTCAGTGAAGACTCAGGACATAGGAGAACCTATACTGTAACATCTTGTAACTCAGTGGTGTCCAAAATTTTCTGATCAAGGAGATGATGGGGCCACAGAGGAAAGTGATTGATGATGTGTAGTGTGCCTAAGGAGAGTCACCTGGAGAGAAAACATTCTCTCAGGCTTTTACAGAGAGCACATTGGTCAGGCAATGGCTGACTCATCCACATGGCTGATACTGACAAAGATCTACAAACTGCAGTATAGGGTTTCAGGATAAATCCTGAGGGGACTTGACTGACCTTGTCAGACACAAAAGTTACGTTTCTTGTTAGATAGGTCTTGCTTTATCTTTGTCTTAACCATCCAGCAGAAAAGTATAAAAACAGAGTATAAAAGGTAAAGCCATATGAATATGCTGAGCTGTAAAAGGCTCAAGTCAACAACTTCTGACATTGCCAGTCCTATGGAAAACCCACTACTATAAAGGACTACTGGACTAAATTGGAATATTTTGCTGAATTCACCTATCTACAGTATTTAAATGACAATGGAGTACCCTTCTCTGACAAAACTAAACAAAAAAGGGGGATACAAATGAAGGACCATCTTGTACCTGTATATTCAAAATAGGATAGATATACAGCTGCATTCTCTTAATTCAATGAATAGAAAAATTTGTTCTAATAGTGTCTGTGGACAGGATATCATGTCTGCATCTTGTACAATGAACAACCACTAAGACAACAATGTGCAATGTATTAATTACTGAAACTGTCCTAATCGGTTTTGAAACTGTCTCATTGTTAGTTTCTCAATAAAATTATTTTTTAAAAAATGGAGAGAGGCCAGTCTGGGTCTCTTTCTTCTTTTTTTAAATTGTTATTTTTATTAGTACACATTTACAACACAATGATTGCATTATCATGGGGAATTTGTCAGTTTGTACATCTATTTTACTTTTCAACAGATCTAAACAAGCTTGATTTTTGGAAAATACACAAAACATAACATGACCATTTGATATTTTTTGTGTAAAAATTCAGTAATGTCGAGTCCATTCTGACCATTGTGCAGCAAATGCTGAAAACTTTCTATCTTGCAAAACTGAAACTTATCTCCATTTAAACATTAACTCCCCACCCAACAGCCTCTGCCCACCATCTTTTTTTCTGTATAGATCTGATGACAAATGAGAGTACTTCTAATTAATAAACTCCCGTATGTTATAGCCTATGCAATTGATTCCAATTTTGTAACTCTGTATGTTTCCATTGTAAGTTTATTAACAAGGACTATTTGGTACAAGCTGACAACTTAAACTCCATCTTCGAACAAGCTTTGTAACTTCCGTTTTGTAAAACCTTGATTTGTTTTGTAACCCCCCCACCCATGCCTTCCCTGAAGAATGTGACTGTTTGTACAAATAAGACAGTGTTTTTCAGCATTCCGAGGGAAGATAAGAAACGTTCCTCAACATTCTGCAAAATGAGTTAAACTGTCTTTCGTACGGGAACAAACAGAATGCCTGAAAATGGGTAAAACTGTCATCAGATGTCCTTCTTACTACTGGAACAAAAACAATGCCTAAGCCTAATAAAGACATTCCTGTAGGGTTTGCAAAATATGACCTCGTCTATGGGAACAAAAAGTTAACCCTTGGTCATGACTAACTCAAAATAAGCTTTGTGAAACCCCCCCTCCTCCCCTTACTCTTGTGGTTTTTCCCTTTAAAAACTGTGCCTCACCTAGACTAAGAGTGCACATACTTGGAGACGAAAGTACATGCTGCCGCTGAGCTCAGCTAAATAAAGCACTTAATTGAGTCCGGGTTTTGATTTTTGGGTTATAACACTGTACAGTAGAAAAAACAACCAACAGAGAGAAAAACTGTAGTGTGTGAAAAATTTTTGCTAGTGGTTCCTGAGACAAGGAACTCATATCTAGGATTTCCAAACAACTTTTTTTTTTTTTAAAAAAAATTTTTTAAAAAGACCCTCCGAAAATAAAAGGTCCAATCAAAAAATGGGCAAGAGAAATGAAGAGATACATCATGGAAGTTATGAATGGCCAATACCTACATGAAGTGCTCAACATCACTGGTCATCAGAGAAATGCAA